TAATTTTATCTTTGGTGCGATGACAGAATGGCCCCGGAATATTTATAAAACAGCTCAACCCCTTTGTGTATATAAAAATAACATTCTGTTAACTGGAGCTTTGTAAATAAGTGAGATAATCTGGAAATTTATCTGCACATCTGATGCATTGAACTTGAGTATTATCTCTATCATACTCTACAGTAAAGTAGAATCTTAGAGAAGTATGCTACATGATATCTGATAAAGGTCAAGAATCGATTGTCCTGTACTGAGAAACGGGTATGGTGTCTATTGGATGCAATCATCTTTCTTTTCCGTTCATATTTGGGAAAATATTTTTGTCTAGTTTCATATTCAGTCTTAACTAAGCTGCATGGTTTTGTAGGAGGTGCGTAATGCAATGGCTAAAAGAGTTAATTGCTGTAAGGGTGAAGTTTTAGAACTTTTTCAGTTGAACAGGCAGCATCTTGCTTGTAACTCAGCAAGAAGAAAGTAATCTTGCATTTGTGATTTAAATTATAATAATTGGCTTGTGTTAAGCTAATAACTTATGAAGGCAGTGCTAAGTAATCTGATTTGATGGGTATGGGGAGATATTGCTTTCTCTTACTTTCTCAGCTATGGGGCTAGGGAAGCTGTTGTTGCATCTAATACAATTTCTTGTTTTACATCCAGACGACAATGGGTTAGAGAAGAAGATTTGGCCAAAGATTTGAAATTGCACTCGAAACAACTCCGTCGAACTCTAAGATTTTTTGAAGAAGAAAAGCTTGTAACCCGCGATCATAGGAGAGAGGTCAGCACCGAGTGAAACTTTTGCACTATAGCAACTGTCTACATGTGCATGAAACCTGCCATGTGCAGCCAATTACATGAAAATCCATTCATATTACACCCCCATTAAATTCTTTTCTTCACGTTTAGTTCTTCCATATTCTAAGTTGTCCTTGTAGCTTAATTTCAGATGGTTATGGAAAGGTGACATCTGCATGTTCTTTATTGTACACACCCCATCACCTCACTATCTTCTCTTCCCCATCCGCCCCCTTACTGGTCCTTCTTCATTCTCACTTTCTGACTAATGACGGAATTATGTAATCATTAAAATCATTGATCTCTTGTGGCCTTCATTTGCTGATTAGTGATGTTGGATGTTATCACAGACTGCAAGGGGTGCAAAGATGTATAGTGCTGCTGTGGCTGCCACAGCTGATGGTCAACATACTGGGAAGGGGGATGAAAAAGTTAAGCTGCACACCCATTCTTATTGTTGTTTGGATTATGCACAGGTTGTTACAATTTCCTCCTTAATATATTGTTTCTTTTGAATTTTTTTCCAACTTTCTAATAATGGCTTGTATAAGTTTGAGCTTCAGAAGGTAGAATAGACCTAAGGTTAGCTTTATTTTCCTTTATCAGTCATATGAAGCTCAGTGAGTGAAAATTTGTTGCAGATATATGATGTAGTTCGATACAGACTGCACAGAATGAAGAAAAAACTGAAGGACGAACTGGAAGACAAGAATACAGTTCAGGAATATGTGTGTCCGAACTGTGGAAGAAGGTTTCTATCACCTAATCCCCTTTTTATTTTAAAAACTTTGAGGTCAAACATATATCTCCTTGTTTTTATCCTTTGGGTCTGCTATCCTGGAAATGTAAGTAGTTTCCTTTGTCTTATGTTCAGATATAATGCTTTGGATGCCTTGAGATTGGTGTCTTTGGAGGATGAATATTTTCACTGTGAAAACTGCAATGGAGAACTTGTTGCAGAGAGTGATAAGATAGCTTCACAAGAAGTAGGGGATGGAGATGACAATGCAAGAAGGCGGCGGCGTGAGAAATTGAAGGATATGCTTCAAAATATGGAGGTCTTTTTTTACTATGGCTATTATATTTGTTGACTGGATTAGTTCCTTATATTGACTTTAGTGTCCATCTCTCTCATAAAGTATTCTCAGTATCCAATAAATGTTTTGATCAATAAATAAACTGATGTTTTAAATTAATGATGTTATTCTTTTACTTGTTTGTGCGAATGTACTTTATCTATTGAGTGGGATACAATTCCTTACATCTAGCCTTTACATTCTTTGATTATACTATATTTGAGAATCCCTAAACCATAGAGGTGGTCGGGATCTACTTTGTCTAAACTTTTAATCTAAATTTGAATTCCACTTGTGTGCATAAATGGGTGACATAATGCCTACTTCTCTTATTGAGTTGTTTCTTGTTTGAATTTCATTAAGTAATTGTTTTTATATCTTACACCAAATGCTGATGTTTAGTTGCCAGGATATTGTCAAGAAGTGTACGTAAGGGTACATTAGGGTAAAGTGTATATTGGTAATTAATATTGTTTTCTTACATTGTTACTATTCACTTGTATATATAGAGCCCTATATGTAAGGAAATACATAACAATTCATTCTTTTACATGGTATCAGTGCGATAGGTTAAAAAACCTTAAACTTTTTTATAAACTCTATTAAACTTTCATTGCTGAAATAAGAAAAATCCTAAAAGAGATGGACCAACTTTCATAGCTGGCCACAACCTCTTAGTCACTGGCCACTACCTCTCAGCTGCCAACCACTAATCTAACCCAGACCGACCTTTGTTGCAGTAACAACAACAAAGCAGCAAGTTGCAGCTCCCTTGCTGCAAGTAGCTGTGCCTAGCCGCTCCTAGCCATCCAATTGCAAGCCGCAAGCAGCGGCTCTGCAGTTTGCCCCAATCATTTGGTCAACTAGCTGGAAGCTAGCCGCTCCAGTCTACCCCAACCATTGGTCTCCTCTGTTGTGCCCAACAAACAGTTTGCTAACCAGCTCTAGCTGCCCATTCGGGTCTGTTTTCTTTATCTCCCATGGTTTAAATACCTTAGATAAATATTTTATATTATCATGGATTGTAAACTCAGGAGTCGTGGACTACATCCAACTCAGCACAATTTTTTAACACCTACAGATCATGCCTCAGCAATAGGAAAATTGTTACTGTTGATGGTCCACTAAACATAGTAGGAGGAGTTGGGACCATAAGACTTGGCCCTCACTTTATCCTTATTAATCTGTTACATGTCCCTAAATTGTGCATCAATCCAATAACAATAACTAATGTTGTTCGAGGATCTCAAATTCAAAGTGATTTTTTTCTTCTCTTTGTGAATTTGAGGACCATAACTCGGGAAGGACAATTGAATATGTTGAGGCTCGAAGCGGGTTATACTTGCTGAATGCACCTAAGACCCCATGAACTGCCCTTTCCACCAACACTCTTGATAAAATATGGCTTTATCATAGAAGGTTAGGTCATAAAGATTAGTTCACCCTTCATTCTCCACCTTTAAGGTTATCTTCCTTCTTTGTTTTTGGATTCCAATAATAGAATTTTTCATTGTGATGTATGTAAATTGGAAAAACACAAACATGTCATCTTTCTCCTTAATAATAAAAGAAGCAATATATTTAATTCACAGTGATATTTGGTGACCTCAAATATTCTTAATATTTATGGGATCCATAGTTTGTTTCTTTTAGTAACAACTGCGCTAAAATTCAAAATATGAGATTAGTCACATTATTGCTCAATTTCGCAACGTAATCAAAATCCTATTTGGAGTAAAAATAAAATGTTTTCGAACAGATAATGCTAGTTACTACTTTAACCACATATTATCTCCATTTTTTCAAAAGCAAGGAATTGTTCATGAGTCTTTATGTGTTTATACTCTAGGATAGGGCGGAGTAGCAAAAAGGAAAAATAGCAACTTGGTCACAGTTACACGTCTTCTTATTCCAAAACCATCTATCCAAACACTATTGGGGAAGACTGTGTTGACCGCTATTTATCAACTGATTACCATCTAGAGTACTGGACTTCTGTGTTAACTTCGTCCCTCGTGACTTTGGTATGTTGCCTA